CCTCCCTCACCTCCATTGGAGGCACCTGGTTCCTTGATCTTTTCTTCCTTCCCTTCCAACTTCCCTATGGGAAGAGTAGCGAGGGAAGAGAATGTTGTATGGACAGAGCCCATCTCACTTCTTCATCTAGGTCAGGGCATCTTGTCCTGACCTAAAGTTCCCAAAGGGAACTTTGAGGGGAAGTGCTCCAAGTTCTTGCCCAGGTAGGGGCAGATTTCTTCTCCTGGAGCAGGGACAAGGCAGAAAGATCCAGTACCAGAATAAAGTCCTCTTGATGGGTGATGCCATTAGGACTGAGTAACAGGGAAGAAGAGATTTCAGGAGGCAGAGAGGTGGGGCATGTCTGGTGCTGGTCTCACTCTGATGGCTAGATCCCAGCCCCACTTGATCATCACCGCCCACAGTCCTGCTCACTGTAGCTATGTGTGCAGAGGGACAGGCACCCATGGGGCAAGAGGCTTTCCCCAGGTCTTGGTGTAGAGGCAGCACTGTATTTGGGCTCTGGTTATTTTGAAATTCCTTTTTGTTGCATGACTGCACTCTGCATTTCTGTCTAGGACTGAAAGACTAAGAATAAAGCCAAATGTGTCATGGCTACGCTGTAAGGATCCTCTTGATTTAAAAAAAAAGTTTGTGTGATTGAGCACACAAGTTCTGTATTCAAGTTCTAGAATTTCCTTTTTTTTTTTTTTTTTGAGACAGAGTCTCGCTTTGTTGCCCAGGCTAGAGTGAGTGCCATGGCATCAGCCTAGCTCACAGCAACCTCAAACTCCTGGGCTCAAGCAATCCTGCTGCCTCAGCCTCCCAAGTAGCTGGGACTACAGGCATGCGCCACCATACCTGGCTAATTTTTTCTATATATTTTAGTTGGCCAATTAATTTCTTTCTATTTATAGTAGAGACGGGTCTCGCTCTTGCTCAGGCTGGTTTCGAACTCCTGACCTTGAGCAATCCGCCCGCCTCGGCCTCCCAGAGTGCTAGGATTACAGGCATGAACCACTGCGCCTGGCCTTCCTTTTTTTTTTTTTTTTAAGTTTCTATTTTTCTGGTGAGATTTTTTACCTTTTCATTCCATGAACACAGTTTTTATCCATATTAAGCAGAGTTATAATAACTGATTTAAAGTACTTATTGGCTACATCCAACATCTAGATTATTCAGAGTCAGTCTCTATTGATCATCTTTTCTTGAAAGTTTGTCACATTTTCTTCATTCTTTATATATTGACTAATTTTGGATTACTCCTTAAATATTGTGATGTGAATATTATGTTGTGGTGACTATGGATACTAATATGTGTTTCTGATGAAGTCAATATTTTTATTTTAGCAGGAAATTCAGTTGGTTGGATGTAAACTATATACATTTTCTTGTGGCTGGCAACTTAAACCTTAGACATTTCCTTTAGCTATGCCTGGGCTTCTTGCAGTCTGCCCTGCACATGCATGGCTCAGGGGTCAGCCTGAGTTTTGAGCAGACTTTAGGGCTCCCTTTCTTTAGATCCCTCTTTTCAGGATTCCCCACTCACTTTCCATCAGTGGTGATTGTCCAGATTCTGTCATCTTGTGATAAGGTTAGACAGATAATTGATTGATTGATTGATTGAAAAATCATAAATAACTGATTTCATGCCAGCACCTTCTTCCAAGTGTCAATTGCCCTCCAGAATCTATCTGCTTCTGCCCATGCTTCAGTCTTCAGTCAATTATTTTTTGGTTTTATTTTGTTTTATTTTGTTCAGACTGTATGGTTATTATCTTCTGGAAGGACAGCCAGGTAGGAACTTAATATGGCCATAACTGAAGCAGAATTTACAGAAGCATATTTCAAAAGAAGGAAAAGGAGATTGGGAAAGGGAAAGAGAAGAGCTCACGTTTGCTGAGCTCCATGCATGTGCCAACACATTAAATGCTTTCCCTGCACTTTTTCTCCGTTTTCTTCTGTTTTATACTCCTCACCTAAACAGTGAAATGATCTTATGAACTTTATGCTAGCCTCACAGTTCCACCTGGAGCTAACATAGAATAGTTTACACACATTTTGTGTTTGATCCCAGCAGTGCACCACTTTAGAGACCTGCCCATGTGTCTGAGAATGAGAGACAATGTAGATAAAGGGGCCTTTTAAAAGTCAATTCATAATGACTATTTCATATTACAGAAATCTGAGCATATCAAGAGCAACTAGCATATGCCAGGCACTGACCCTGGAGCTGGAGATATCAAAGTAAGATACAGTGCCTGATCATAGAGGACTTATTATCTTTCACCGTTAGAATATCATGAACACAATTTAGTATTAAATATTAAGATAGAATTAAATTTCTGTTAATGCCAGATATTATTTATAAGTGCTAGGACTTGTAAAAACTAGATTTCTAAAACATGAAATTATAAGAAAAAATCAGTATATTTTTAGATCTAGAAAGCCCCTTTTAAGATAGCGATGTGTATTGCGTGCTTTATTTGGTTGCTGACAATATGTGAGGCACCAAAGTCAACAAGTTGAACTGTTGGTGGGAATGTGAATCAGTACAGCCATGATGGAAAACAGTATGCGATTTCCTCAAAAAACTAAAAATGGAACTATTAATACCATATTAGCCAGCAATCCCATTAGAGGGTATGTATATCCAAAGTAAATGAAATCAGTATGTCAAAGAGGTATCTGCACTCTCATGTTTATTGCAGCGCTATTCATAATAGCCATGATATGGAACCAACCTAAATATCCATCAATGGATGAAAGGATAAAGAAAAGGTGAGAAATACACACACACACACACACACACACTGGAATACTATTCAGCCTTTAAAAAGAAGGAAATTTTGTCATTGTCAATCACATGGATGAAATTGAAGGACATTACGTAAAGTGAAATAAGCCAGGCATAGAAAAATAAATACTGTATGTCCTCACTCATATGTGAAAGCTAAAAAAGTTGAACCCACTAGAGATTAGAGTAGAGATTAGTAGAGATTAGAATAGTGGTTACTAGAGGTTGGAAAGGATGGGAGGAAGAGGACAGCCAAAGATTGGTTAATGGATAAAAAAAGTACAGCTAGTGGAAACAGCCCAAGTGCCCATCAATCCAAGAATGGATTAATAAAATGTGGTATATGTATACCATGGAGTACTATTCAGCTCTAAGAAACAATGGTGATATAGCACATCTTATATTTTCCTGGTTAGAGCTGGAACCCGTACTATTAAGTGAAGTTTCCCAAGAATGGAAAAACAAGCACCACATATACTCACCAGCAAATTGGTATTAACTGAGTAGCACCTAAGTGGTCACATAGGTACTGCAGTAATAGGGTATTGGCAGGTGGGGAAGGGGGAGGGTAATATACATATATAATGATGAGATGTGCACCATCTGGGGATGGTCTGCTGGAGACTCAGACTTGTGGGGGGGGGGGGGAAATGGGCATTTATTGAAACCTTAAAATCTGTACCCCCATAATATGCTGAAATAAAAAAAATAGAAAAAAAAAGAAGTACAGCTAGGTAGAAGGAATAAGTCCTAGTGTTCTACAGCTATAGGATGACTGTAATTACCAACAATTTATTGTATATTTTCAAATAGCTAGAAGAGTGGATTTTGTCTATTTCCAATGCAAAGAAATGATAAATGTTTGAAGTGATGGATATGCTAATTATCCTGATTTGATCATTGCACATTGCATATATGTATTGAAATATTGCACTGTACCCCCTAAATATTAATTATTATGTCAATTAAAATAATAATAATAAAACCCCAAATCAATAATGGCTTTCAATCAGTTAACATATTCTTACCAGTTTATGTGCTGTGTGACAAACTCAGAATTGGGAAAATAAGTTAAGATGGGAAAACAGACATAGGAACAGTAATGGAGCTCATTTTTTGTACTTGTGACTTTGGGCAAGTGACAATTTTCCTGAGGCTCAGTTTTCTCAGCTATAAAATGAGGCTGAAAATTATAAAACCTATTTCATGGGATCATTGTGAATATTGTAACTGTATTTATGATTATGTATATATATGTATTATGTATGTATAATAACTGTATTTATAGAGTACCTAGACTAGTACCTGGATCCTTGTAGATCCTTAACAAGTTTCAGCAATTTTTCTCTCCTACTTTTATAAAAAAGAAATTTGAGGCTCAAACCAATGAAATAACTTATTTGTTCAGGACACTACTTACCCAGAAGACAAATACAAATTAAAAACAAGCAACAGGACAAAGTACATGAGCCCCGTTTGAGACCAGAGAGAAGGCTTAATTCTGCCTATGGAGTTTGGGAGAGAATCAGGAAGAAATATTTAAGCCCCTTCACAAATGATTTTTCAGATATTATTCATAAACACTTATTTGGAGACTTGGAGCAAAATTTTCAGTCCACCAGCTTCTGACATTCTCATAGGTACCCGCAGATCCTCCAGCGGGTCCTTTCTTCACTGCTGTGGTTTCTCTGTGCAGCTATGATAATGATGAGGATTATCACAAGCCTTTTTCCATCTTCAGAACGGACCAGAGAGAAGGGAGAGAGGACATAACTGCCTTCCTACCTTCTCCTAGAATTTTCCTGGGACTACCACAGCATCACTCCCTCCAAAGTAAAAAGAGTATTTCTTCAAACCACATAACCTCTCCAGCATAGCTGAAACCAAGGACTTCCTTGGAACTTGGGTGTCAAGATGACTTTCATTCATTATTTGCTCCTTCACATGATGTTTATTTCACGTTTATTACATGAAACAATCCATCAACCGGAAGCAGCTTCTCAGTGGAGAAAAAGCCCTCAAAGCAAAACCCTGAGCTCATTAGTCACAAAAGGGATCATCTCTCTCTTTCTGGTTCTCCTTGTATAACTAAAATTCCACTGTTAACTCTATTTTAAGAAATAGCGCTTTTCACACACATTAGTCTTAGAAAAATTATCTCAGTATAAACTTTAGTGCCAATAATCTGAATCTGACCTCTATCTCCTGTTTTTCTCTTAAACAGAATGCCTCAACTTTCCATGTAACTGTCCGAGATGATAACAACATCGTCGTCTCCTTAGAAGCTTCAGATATTGTCAGCCCAGCATCGGTGTATGTTGTGAAGATAACGGGTGAATCCAAAAATTATTTCTTCGAATTTGAGGAATTCAACAGCACTTTGCCTCCTCCTGTCGTCTTCAAGGCCAATTATCATGGCCTTTATTATATAATCACTCTGGTCGTGGTAAATGGAAACGTGGTGTCCAAGCCATCCAGATCCATCACTGTGTTAACAAGTAAGCATCGTGTGTGACATTGTCCTTTGTGTCCCTTATTTGGGTGTATTCTCACAGGGCTCTGATTGAGGGAGTCAGCCCAGAGTGATGAGATCACTTGCCTTGAAGCCAAGTGACACAGGTACAAAGTTCTGCATTATATTAAGAATACACTTCTTGCCAGTTTGATGACGTTTACCGTTTACCTTGTGTTAAAATCTGTTTTAAACCAAAATAAGGAAACCTCAATGAGATAGTCTATTTTGAGACTGAGTGACAATTTTAGATTCATGATTGGACCACGTAATCTCCTGCTATATTACTTAATAACGTGATCGTGATGAGTCTGTTTTCTTCCAGAACATGTGTTCCATATCAAGCAATTCAGTTTGAGGGACTATGAATTTATACTCATATTTAGCTTGCTGAAATTCAATTATGCATTTTTGGCTAAGAGAGAGGAAAAGATGTCTTTATCAGTTGCTATTCTCCACCTCAACCTCAAAATAGCCTCAGCGTCCACTGCCCAAGGAAAACGCTAAGAAAAATAATTACTGGCGTTTTAACCTTCAGTAGTCCATATACATAAGGAGTTAATGCTCATACTAAGGAGTTTTGAGAGGTAGTTTTAACTACATGTGATTTTCACTTTACTCTCTGACTTTAATATCTAATCTCAAAGTAAGATGCATCTCTGCTGTATATATTGAGGCAAGTTTTCTTCTGAAAAATTTGATATCTGACAGTAGAGTTTATTACTAGAGCGATTTAATGACTCAGTGAAGTGCTTTTTGCTCATGTTCTTTGGTGCAAGTTTTCTAACAGCTGCAATTTTAAAAATGCTAGCTATGTATGGTTGTTCTGGCTACTGTTAAGGAAAGATACAGTGATATTGTCTGTTGAGATAAAAGGAGAGAGAAGCTGTAAGAGGCAAGAACTCAGAACAAAGCTGGAGGACATATTTTAAGATGTCTGTCAAAAATAATTAAAGTCTCCATTGGCAGAGTCCCAAGATCAGTACCGAGTCCTGAAAATAAGACCTTCAAGGTTCATAGACATAATGATAAATCAGGAATCAGTTGAATTAACCACTTCAGTACAGCACTCACAGGCCTTGAAACCTTGCCCACAGCCAGCACTCATGGTCTGCACGATAGTTTGTGCTGTGCATTGACGACGAATGCGTTTTGCTCTTGTGTGATGAGGAAAGCTTTAAAGCACTGAAGCTTGTTTTACTTTACAGGCAGCTTTACTTGTTATGTAAATCAGAATAGGTAACATATACATACATGTTTTCATTACGTTATTTTAAATGTTCACAATTTTATTTTGATAAATGAAAAATTAGAAAGAGTCATATCACGGCTGTCGCTAAGTCTGCTGTGCCATTCATCCGTGTATCGATACCTATATCGACTGGTACGAAATGGTTAAAGGAAGAATTACCTAGTAAAATACAGGCTTAAAATCTAGAAAAAGACGCATTGCCAGCCAGATCCAGGCAGCAGATCTAGACATATAATGCTTACAACATGAACTCCTTGAAATCAAAAGCTCTGCTTTACTCATCTTCATAATTTTATAAATGCTTGCTTAGTCCAAGCCTATGCTTAATAAATGATCCATAATTATTTGTTAAATTTAGTTAAGTAATTAGCAGGAGAAAGCAAGGAAAAAAGCAAAATAGAGTATAGAACTGTCATGACCGTTGTTGCTGACTCAACATTATTAGCGTGCACTTGGCCATACCTAATCAGACAAGACTAGAAGATTCAGCCTTTTAACTAATTGTTCATAGAGAAATTTCATAAGTAAGTAAATGCTAAGATAGTTCTAGAATATCTGGTTGATATTTTAGCACTTGCAGTAAGTTTTATTCAAAATATCTTCTACTTTTGCCGGGCATGGTGTCTCACGCCTGTAATCCTAGCACTCTGGGAGGCCAAGGTGGGAGGATCACTCAAGGTCAGGAGTTCGAGACCAGCTTGAGCAAGAGGGAGGCCCGGTCTCTACTAAAAATAGAAAAAAATAGCCAGTAAACTAAAAATAGAAACAAAAAATTAGCCAGGCATGGTGGCTCGCACATGTAGTCCCAGCTAGTCAGGAGGCTGAGGCCAGAGGATTGCATGAGCCCAGGAGTTTGAGGTTGCTGTGAGCCAGGTTGATGCCATAGCACTCACTCTAGCCCTGGCAACTAAGCAAGATCGGTCTCAAAAAAAAAAAAAAAAACTTCTATTTTCCCTTGTGAGTTTTTCTTTGACCTATAGGGCTTAGAAGTGTGTTGAATGTCCAGAAATTGGGAAATTTTGCAAATATTTTTTATTGATTTTTAAGTGACTGGCGTTGTGATTAGAGATACATTTCTTATGATTTCAATTACTTGAAAATTGTCAAGATTTGTTTTAGAGCCCAAATATGGTCTACCTTGCAGTAAATTCTGTGAACACTTTGGGTATGAAATTTGATTGTTTAAGTTTTCTATATCCTTTACTTGTTCTAATAATGACTGACAGAGAAGAGTCAAAGTCTCCATCTATAACTATGGATTTGTCTATTTCTCCTTTCACTTCCTTTAGTTTATCCTTTAGATATTTTGAAACTTTATTGTTACATTGTTAGGTACATTTTCAGGATTGCTATGTCTTCTGGATGAACTGACCCTCTTATTATATGCAATGTCCCTCTTTATCCAAGTATTATACCTTGAGTTGAAGTCCTTTGTTTGATATTAATGTAACTGATCTAGTTTTCTTTTATTAACTGTTGCTATGTCAGACTGATTTGATTCTTTTACTTTCAGCCCGCTAATATTTTTACATGTAAATGGGTTTCATGTAGATGGCATAAAGTTGAGTCTTGCTTATTTTTCCAGTCTGAAAATCTCTGCCTTCTAATTGGAGAGTTTAGACCAGCACTATCCATTAAAATGGAATGTTAATCATATATATAATATTACATTTTCTAGTAGATACATTAAGAAACATTTTGAAAGGGTGAAATTAATTTTTATAACATGGTTTACTTAACCCATACATTCAAAATGTAATTATTATTTCAACATATGATCAAGATAAAAATGTATACATCATTTTTTACTTTTAAACATAAATCAATTAAAATTAAGTAAATTAAAAATACAGTTTCTCAGCTGAATTTTTAAGTGTTCAATAGCCACATGTGACCAGTGGCTGTCAATTTAGATAGTGTAAGTTTAGACAATTTATATATAATGTAATTTTTATATGGTTGAATTTTAATTGATCATACTGCTAGGCTATTATTTGGGGCAGGATTGGATGGAGGGAAGTGAGTCAGCCTAGACAATAGTCATGCCGGTTTAAGGTATTAGACACCTTCTTCAGTTCATCATAGATTCCCAGTTTTTCCAATACCGGGCTGCCAGGAGTGGTAGAGGGTATTTCTCAGTGTTCCAACACTTGCTCCACAGAAAAACTCCCCTAGCAATAGACTACAGATGCTTTTTACCCAGTGCTAAGTGTTTGGTGGGAACAGGGGAGGTTCTTGGTTCTCCTGGGCCAGCCTCAGGCTTAGGCAGACCCTGTGAGCTTAGCTGGGGTATTCTTGACATTCCTACCCCTGGCTTTACACTGACAGCCAAATGCTACCTTAAGTTTGTGAGTCAGACAGTTTCTTGCCTATTTGCCAGTGGTAGCGGAATTCTATGTTGTTCATGAGCCCGGGAGACTTCCTGCCCATCTCTTTTGCTTCTACCCATCCCTCAGGAGGAGGGATCTTTTTCTGAGAACTGGGAGGAAAAGATTTTCCTGCCCTCCTCAATACATTTGTGCACTAATTCCCAGTTCTTATATTCCCAACCTATTATTGCTTTTGAAATTTAGGATAATGTAATTGAGTCTTTAAAAATAGGGTAGAAGATGAGATACAATAGACCATCATTAATTAATTTTACTCTTTAGAAATCAAAGCAAGGTTCCTCTTCCCCTTAAGATATAGAAAGCCTCAAGATAGGTCCAAGGAAGTAAGTTTTCTTGCTGGTTTCTTAGTGGCTCCAAGCGTCATCTGCATGCCTGTTCCCCTACCTCCCACCAGAAGGAGGCTCTGTCCAGTCCTCTGTCTTGCCCCCAGTGGTTTTCACGAGCAACTGGTGAAGGCCCAGGGATAGAACTAGAGAGAGTGTGTGGACTCCATTTGTGTCTGTGGATCTCCCAGCTTGTCTAAACCAGCACTGACCTAGAACTTCTGGCTGATGGAAATGTTGTATATCTACATTGTCCTATACAGTAGCCACTAATTTTTAATTTTATTTAATTTTGATTCATTTTAAATTTAATTTAAATAGCCACATGTGGTTAGTAGCTATTATATTGGACAGAGCAATTCTGCACTGCCATTTAGACCACTTTTCAGCCTTTACGAATTCATTAAAATCTTAGTTGCTTTTCTCTTACCTGTTCAATCGTGGCATCGTATTCCTGTCATCCTCTGCCAAAGGTGAAACAGTGTATCCCTCTCCCCTTAGAGATGCTTATAGCTCCTTGGAATTTACTTCACTTGGCTGCCTGGCAATCTCACCTCTCTGAGAAGCTCAAGGTATGATTTCATGGATTACTTGGCTTTTCCTTGTTGTTGGGGCAGGGAGAAGTGTTGTTGTCTTGAGGCTTTCTACCTCCTAAGGGGAAGAGGAAACTTGTATCAATTTCTAAAGAATAACTAATTAACTAATGATGGTCTATCATATCTCATCTTCTACCCTGTTTCTTTAAAGACTCAATTACATTATCCCAAATTTCAAAAGCAATAATAGGTTGAGAATATAAAAACTGGGGATTAGTGCACAAATATTTCTGTGACATTAGGTATGAGGTGGCATTGGGTGACATTTGTATTCCAGCTTCATCCTTCATGAAAGAGAGAATTAAAGTGCATGATGACCAAGATTATTTTGGAGCTCTAAAACTACTATTTGTCAGTTAATGATATATTTTTGTCGTCTTTATTTTTCTAACAGATAGCTTTTTAAACAAGTTTAGAAAACATTT